TTATAAGATTGCATGATAATATCTCTGAATTAATCAAAAGCAATTAGTATGTTATCCTTGTGTCAATTATAGCATATTTGATTACTATGTGACTTTGCTTGAAAGCTAAGATGAGACAAGCTGTTAAGGTGAGTGAATATATTTTTGAATTTTTAAATTCTAAATATATTCTTAAATTAGTGGCTCCTAGTGAGTACAAGATCACTGATCACAGAGATAGAAAACCGGTGGTTCCTAAGAGGTGTTAGACCACTGGCTACATAATTATGAGATTATAGTTCCTAGTAGTGAACAGATTACTGATCACATGTCAAGACATGATGGTTCCTAGTAGTGGAGAGGCTACTGATCATATGTCAAGATATGATGATTCCTAGTAATGAAAGAGTCTATTGATCCTATGTCAGGACGTTGTGATTCCTAGTAGTAAAGTGACTACTGATCACAGGTTAAAATATTGTGATTCCTAGTAGTAGAAAGTCTATTGACCACATGCTGAGAAATTAGTGATATCCCTAGTGGTAAGACTACTGGCCATGTTATGAAGTTCCGAATAGTAGACTATTGAACACTGGATTGGTGTTTCCTAATAATAAGGCTATTTGTTTCATAGTGATAAGTTAGACCAAATATGTTTGGGTGCCTAATTCGGTTGATGACATTCTGAGAATGTATTTACTGTGATATGATTTTGAGAGTTTCATAATCATTGTGACACAAGGTATTGTTTAAAGACCCTATATGAATTTTTGAAAAAGGCCAAAAGGCTTTGTATAAATTCAATAAATGTGGGGGTGTCATGTAAAAGGTGGTAATACCTAAACCCAAGAGAGTTAGGATAAGCCTGAAAATCTGTTGACTTTGTATTCAACAGTTATGCACAATATAGCAATGCATATCTATTTCTTATGTATAAGTCTACTATTCTAGATATACACAAGAATACTATCATGGAATCCAGAAATGCATCTTTCTTTAAAATTGTATTTCATTGTCATATCCAAGAAGAGATTCCAAGTTCTATGAAAGAGGTTGACGGTAACAGTGATCACATAGCTGATCAAATAGACGATCACTTAGATGATCAAATTGATTATCAAGATGAAGATGTAGATGGACCATGAAGGAGTAAGAGGTTAGGACTGTAAAGTCCTTTGGTCTAGACTTCTTGACGTATATGTTAGAGGGAGAACTTCGAACTTTCCATGAAGCTGTGATTTCACCTAAAAGTCCTTTGTGGAAAGAAGCAATTAAGAGTGAGATTGACTCCATCTTACAGAACCATACTTGGAAGTTGGTTAATCTACCCCTAGGCAGTAAAGCCTTAGGGAGTAAGTGGATCTTTAAAAGAAAGATAAAGGCTGATAGGTCAATTGATAAGTATAAAGCTAAACTAGTTATCAAAGAATACAGGCAATGAGAAGGCCTAGATTACTTTGATATGTATTCACCTGTCACAAGAATTACATCCATTCGCATGGTGATTACGATAGCAGCTTTACGTGGTCTGGAGATACATCAAATGGATGTAAAGACAGCTTTCTTAAATGAAGATTTAGATGAAGAAATCTACATAGAGCAACCTGAGGGGTTTTCAGCTCCAGGACAAAAGAAGAAAGTCTGTAAGCTTGTCAAATCATTGTATGGTTTGAAGCAAACGTCTAAACAATGGCATAAGAAGTTTGACAACGCTATGTTGTTAAATGGGTTCAAAATTAATGAGTGTGACAAATGCGTATATGTCAAAGACATTGATAGTGGTTATGTCATTTTGAGTCTATATGTAGATGACATACTCATTGTTGGTAGTAATAATGAAATAATTAGAACTACCAAAAGATTGTTAACTCCAAGTTTGACATAAAAGATATGGGCCTTGCAGATGTTATTCTGGGTATTAAGATTACCAAAACATCTAGTGGTATTGTACTTTCTCAGTCTCACCATGTTGAGAAGATACTTGAGAAATTTGATAAATTAGATACAAGTGTCTAGGACACCGATAGACGTAAGTCTACATTTGACCAAGAATAATGGTGAGAGTGTCTCTCAGCTAGAATATTCTCGGGTCATTAGAAGTTTGATGTATCTGATGAATTGTACAAGGCTAGATATAGCCTACTCTGTTAGCAGGCATAGTAGATACACGAGTAATCCGAATGCTACTCATTGGAGGGGCATTATGCAGGTGTTAGATTATCTACACTATACCCGGGGTTATGGGCTACATTATACCAAATGCCCAGCGGTATTATAAAGGTATAGTGACGCTAATTGGATATCTGATATAAAAGACTCTAAATCCACTAGTGGTTATGTGTTTACCCTCAGAAGGCAGCTGTGTCTTGGAAATCTTCCAAGCAAATGTGTATATCAAGATCAACGACGGAATCTGAGTTTATTACTTTGGATAAAGCAACTGAAAAAGTTGAATGGAAAGTCTCAATTCGTTGAGACCAACTTTGAATACAGATGCCTGTTCGTTGAGATTATTCCACGTTGGTCTAAACCTGTGCCAGCCATCTGTATTCATTGTGACAACCAATCGGCCATTGGACGGGCACAGAGTAATATGTATAATGGAAAGTCTAGACATATTCGTCATAGACATAATTTCATATGACAACAATTCTAGAACGGGGTTGTCACTTTAGACTATGTAAAGTCTAAGGACAACATTGTGAATCCGCTAACCAAAAAATTAAATAGAGTGTTAGTAAAAAAGTCGTCAGAAGGAATGGGTTTAAGGCCTTTAGTGTAAGGTGTTACCGGAATGGAAACCCAACCTAGTTGACTGAAGATCCCAAAATCTAGGTTCAATGGGACAACCTAATTGCGTGAAACGGTGGTATGTCACTGAAGAGGTTAAAACTCCAGTCATTCCTTTTATCAGTGATACTTGCAAGTGTAAAGGTTAAGCTGAGCTTTTAATGACTCTAATGTGTTGAGCTGTTGAGCTGAGTATAGCAGGATACTCAAGTAGAGTCACCTATGTGAGTGTGAAGTGAGGCCGCTTCTATAAGAATTGACAGGGCCTAATTCTTTAAACCACTCACTGAACCAGGCTAGTGTTTCAGGGCCAAACTGGACACAACAGTGAGAACAGAACGATGGTTGGAGTAATTCCTGTGTGAGGTTTGTTGTCTTGGTTTACATAAACGACAGAACAGTTTAAGACTTCATGTTCACTAGATAGCCAGTAAATCCGATAGACTTCACTAGGAAGGGTACAAAGTCAAAAGCTACCCTTTTTTATGCCGAGGTTATTCCGTTGCACTCTCTCTGAGTCTTTGCTGTTAAGCATTTTCCATTTGCTATTATTTGGTCAATTTTTATTCATGTGGGCGATTGTTGGAAAAAATAATGGTTTTTCGGTGATTTTAATGCAATATTAAAGTGGGTGTTAATCCTCAATTGAGGTAGAGTAAAGTGGGTTTAGATTCTTTATAGTGAGATCTTTACACCACAAAAAAAATGACCAAAAATCATTAAGGTTTGAATAAGAAATTGACTCATTAAGTTGACCTCATGAAAGAGGTGTTAGAAAATGTGTAAAAACCTTGTATCCCACATTGATTGTAGATGAGAGCATTGATGGGTATTTAAATCCCATTTTTTGCCTAAGGGTGTAAGCCCTTTGGGGCATCCAAATTTTCCAAAGGAATGGAGTTATGGATGCTTCAATGATGGACTTGGGCCAAGACTATGGTCTAAGTTAGTTATGCGAAAATTGTCACACGCACGCATGCACCGCCAACCCGAACAGGACCGGGTCTTGGTCCTGGTCCGTAGTCCTAGTTTATGGTCTGTGATCCGTGGATCGTGGTTCTTGGACCTTGGGACTTGGGGCATGGGTTTGGGCTTACTGGAATGGATTGAGCAGGAATATATACATAAAACTTAGTGTGTACAGCTAGTAACTCCTCTATTGATGACGGAATTAAACTCATCAGTTTTGTATAATTAATGCAAGTTTAATATAGAATTTATTTATGCATTTATGATGGGCCTTGATGGCATGAGTTTTTTCCTCTCTCCCTCTATGCGTATAAAAGAAGGCCCTCTCCTTCCTTTTCGTAACCCAAGAATTTTGTTCTTGTCTTCAAAAGTTTCTCCTATATTATATTCTTCCTATGAGAGAGTGCTGCAAAGTTCTGTTCGCTGAAGCTATTCAGTCGGTGCATTGCATAGCTGGTCCAATCGTCATATCCTGGGAGACAAACATCGAACAACCTCAAGCACCCAACTGGTGAGGCGACGAATCTGTTTTAAGGACACTGTTTAGTACAGGTTTCGGTTTGCTTTCTTTTGCAAGTTTTATTTTATTATGAATTTCTATAAAATCCATCATGTTCTTGTTCTGAAATTCTAATTGTTTGTTCAATATGAATCTATTTGTTTTATGTTATCACACAATTTGTACAACATATATCACTCCAAGTGGTCAATAGATATCAAACAATTTGAATTATATCAAGGTGATCTTTAAAGAGTGACTGTTAATGTTGTTTGATGGTGATGAATGAAGACACCAATATATATATGCTTGTTTGTATGTGGTGTGCAAAAATATGCTTGTTTTTGTAGTTTAATTTTTTTTTTTTGATTTGGTCAAAATACAGAGAAAATTGTGAGTAAATCAGGAAAAAAAAATTAGTCAAAACACAGAGAAATTTATAAGCAAACTAGAGAAATTTCAACTCAGAGAAAATTTTAAAATACAAAAAAAAAAACCAAAGAAATCAAGCAAACTAAAGAAATTTCAAAACACAAAAAAATTTCTCTGTGTTTTAAAATTTCTTTTGATCGAAATTTGTTTGAAAAAATATTGAAAAATTCCAACCACTATAAAAATATTATATATTTTTTATCTTATAAAATTTTAATATCAATACCTTAAAAAAATTCTCCCAAAAATAAATCCCAAATTTAAAAAGTGAAAATAAAAAATAATTAAAATATTAAAAAATCAAGAATTAAATTAGAGATTGAAAACCAAACCATCCAAACAGAGCATCGCTCTCGAATTTACCAATCTACTCCCCGTCGATCACCGCCGCCTCCCCCTCCCCTCTCCCCACCACCACAGTGCCGCCGCCTCCTCTCTCTCACTCTCTCTCCACTCACCGCAGCTAAATCTTTGTTCTTAGCCAATGGTTTCTCATTTACTACTCAAAAATATTAAAGAAGACCTAGATGGCCTCCCAGAAGAGTATCACGAGATATATGTAATTGCAAGCTGTTTTTCCGAAAAGAGTATTACCAGATGTATGTAATTGCAAGCTCTCCTGGCTAAAGGTAGGTCTTCAATTTCCCAATTTCCGAGTTCTTGATGGTATGTATGTTTGATTCCTTTGTTTTTGTAAATATTTTTTCTAGGTTTCATTTTTTGTTCAAGTGTTCAAATTAAAATGTAGGTAGGCTCTGTTAGGATTGGCAGATGAGATAGGAAAAGAAATTATTATAGTTTATCACATAGTTGGAAAAAAATTTAGGATCAGTTTATTTAGAATGAAATAGGTAGAAAATGAAAGAAAGAGAGAAAATTTTTATGAAAATTATAAGAAAACCCATATTAATATTGTAGCTAATTTTTTATTTCTTACAAAAAAAAAATGTATATATATATGTGATTTATCTATAACAAAACTTTTAAATTTTTCTATCTCCTTTTTTTTTATATAAATTTTTTATTTTAATCTAATGTTTGTAAGAAAATATATTTATTTTCTTTTCTATTTCTTTTCTTTCACTTCATTTTCTTTTACTTTCACTTTCTACCAAATTTTCTTTCTAATCAAATGGGTAGGGAAAATTAAAAAGAAAACTTCAAAGTTTGATCATTTTAACTAAATAAATCCGAATTTTTAATTTTGTCAATTTAATGGCTATTTATTTGGCTATTTCCGTTAAGGTGAAACCCACAAAAATAAATAAATAAATAAATATGAAGTTTGTTGGTTGATTTTACTCGATGATAATTGATATATGGTTTAAATTGAAAATAAAATAAAATATTAATGTTTAAATTGATAAAATTAAAAATTTAGTATTTATTTTATTATCAGGGTCAAACCCCCCCTTTTTTTTTTTGTAATTTTTTCAAAAATATAAAAAGAAGCAATTTTGGTTCTGACCAAAATTTACCAATGGGAAACAAAATTTGAGTTTAAAAGGATTTGTCTATCTCATTATTTTTGCCTCCTTAATCATTAGAAATGTATCTATTTCTGTTCTTTTCTCACCAAACCCCCTATCATGTGGTGCTTTTGTGTTAATGTTCTTCTGTATCAATTTATGGAAGTTGTTGAAGACAGACATCATGTTTGGGAAAATAGGAAAAAGAATATTAATCTGGTTTAGGGCTTACTGTTGTTCATTTCTCTATGCTTGTTACTTACCCCCAAAAAAAAAAAAAAAAAAAAAAAAAAAAAAAAAAAAAAAAAACTCTATGCTTGTTGAAACTGTTGATAGTCAGAGCCATGTTAACAGTGTTCTCTGCTATTCTTAGCTTTTTTAGTGGTGGTTTTGGTAGGCCAGTTATCTTTTGAGTTTGAAATCGCTGTAATACGTAGCCGACCTGCCAGTTTAGAGGCTGTGGGTTTTGGTGTCGGGTGAGAAAATAGTCTACTTGCAACGTGACAAAAATGGCAATTTCTCACTTAGGCCAATTCACAAATTAGTTGATTGTTGAACACATAATAAAACGCTCACATAGAGAGAACTAAGTTAAAGTGCATGATTGATTATTTGTTTGTTTCAAAATTATTTTGGTCAATCTGTGACTCTCTTTCTTGTATAGGGTGATGGCAAATCGAGCCATTAAAAATGTACTTTTCAGTAACTCATATGGATCTTCCATCAACGAACTAGCGCATTCTTCTGTTCCATATTTCTATGTGAAATTTTTACTCAGCCCCATATTTTTGGCATCACAATATCGATCAATGACAACAAGCAAGAGAGTCCAAGACCGAAGCAAGAAGAAGAGAGTTCATGATCTTGAAATTGCGACTGAGAAGTGGAAGATTGCCTCGAAAGTGTTGTTCTTGATGGAGATTCTGAAGCAAGAACCTGAACAAATCATACCCATCAGGTCACTCGACCAGTACAGGAGGCAAATCAACTTACCAAAGCCCCACAAGATGTCGGACTTCATCAGAAAATCACCGAAGCTATTTGAACTATACAAGGACCACAAAGGGGTCTTGTGGTGTGGGATGACGAAAGAAGCTGAAGATTTGGTCCAAGAAGAGGAGAGGATCATTGAAGAGTACTCAGAGAAGGCAGCAGAGCATGTCACAAGATTCTTGATGATGTCAGTTGCCAAGCGTTTGCCTTTGGATAAGATTGCCCATTTTAGGAGAGATTTTGGTTTACCTTTTGATTTTAGGAAAAATTGGGTTTATAAGTATCCAGAGCACTTTAGGGTGGTTAAGAATGAAGATGATATTGAATTTTTGGAGCTTGTTTCTTGGAACCCGTCTTGGGCTATTACTGAATTGGAAAAGAAAGTGATTGGGGTATCTAAGGATCACCAACCGGGTTTGCTTTCGCTTGCTTTTCCAATGAAATTCCCACCTGATTACAAGAAGGTGTATAGATATGGTGGGAAGATTGACCACTTTCAGAAGCGATCATATTTGTCTCCGTATTCCGATGCCCATGGGTTGAAAGCTGGGTCGCAAGAATTTGATAAGAGAGCAATTGCAGTGATGCATGAGTTGCTGAGCTTCACTATTGAAAAAAAGCTGGTAACTGATCATTTGACCCACTTCAGAAGGGAACTTGTGATGCCTCAGAAGCTGATGAGGCTTCTACTGAAGCATATTGGTATATTCTATGTTTCTGAGAGGGGGAAGAGATTTAGTGTGTTTTTGACGGAAGCATATGAAGGTTCTGAGTTGATTGAGAAATGCCCGTTGATCCTTTGGAGGGAAAAGGTCCAAAGCCTTATTGGATATAGAGGAAGGAAGAAAAAAATTGAAATTTTTGATGATTTTGCAGAAATGGTGGATGAGAATTTGTTCGAGAGTGAGTCTGATGAAGACAATGTGCACGTGCAACTGGAGGAAGACACCATGAGCAGTTTGGAGGATTCTTCACTTTCAGGTGAGTCTGAGATGGAGATTGGTGAGATTTGCAGTGCATACAAGGATATTGAAACATCATAAGGTAATTATAATGTTGTCTTTCATTGTAATGTTTGTATGTGGATTCCAATGGATTTCACACTGTTATATTAATTTCAGAATGCAAACAAAAGCTGCCTCAATTCTGAAGTATATGCTAAGATACATATGTTATTATTTCTTTGCAAATATTTTCTTTTGGAGTTAAAATATTTGTTATTAATGAAGATTGTAAATTTGAATGTGAGAGTACTTGGTCCAGAAGTAGAACTACAGTTAAAGAAATTTTGGTTAGAAATAGTCTGGATGTCATGATCCTTCAAGAAACTAAAATTGATAAATTTGATAAGAAATTGATAATGAGCATTTGGGGCCCTAGATATAGGAATTGGGCTACTTTATCTTCATGTGATAGATCAGGGGTGTTTTAGTAGTTTGAGATGAGAGAGTAGTAAGTGAAATCAAAGTGGTAGCGGGGAATTCTTAGTCTTAGTTAAGTAGAGGAATTTGGATGCGAGTGAAAGTGTGCCTATTGGGATTTATGGTCCCAATCCTCTGTGGGTTAGAAAGTCTTTTCTGAATGATTTAGGGAATTTATATGAATTCTGTTATCCTAATTGGGGTATGGGAGGGATTTCAATGTAATTAGAATAATATTGGGGAAAAAATGAATGGGAGTATAGTAGAGTTACTAGGAGTATGGGAGATTTTGATGCCTTCAGTAGAGAATTTGATCTAGTTGATCTTCCATTGCTGAATGCTCTCTGTACTTGGTCAAATCTTCAGTAGATTCTAGTGTGTAATAGGTTGGATAATTTTTATAGTTTTTTGGGGGTGGGAGAATAGATTTCCTAGTGTGAGATAGAAGGTTGTATCTAGAGTAGTATTTGATCATCATGTTGTTTTTGAGAGTCCTGTTAAATGGTCAAAGCAGGTAGTTTTGAAAGTTCATTTTGACAAATAAATAAATAAGTTGAGTAGCAATGTTTCATATATTTGGATATTGAACGTTTCAATGATAAATTACTTTGCTACATTAGTATTTGCAGGGTGCAAAAGATTGGAGCTTTAATTATATGACGATGGTCAACCACTGAAGAGATGGTGTTGTAATGGCGTTTCTCCAAGCATTGGTAAAGTTCAATTTCTTGCAAAAAATATTTAATTTTCATTGAGTTCAAAATCTTGCAGTCTCTAGGTCTGTATTAAGTCTTGCAATAAGAAACGGCATGTATCGTTCCTATCAACCACCATGGGATATATGCTATCAAAATGCAAAAATAATGTTGAGCATGAGCTTATTAATTTAGGAGTAATAAATAGGGCTAAAAATTGAAACTCTCAATATAACAGTCCGCACATTTGAAAAATATACTTTAGTTTGTTGGAGATTTTTCTCTTGATCATAAATGGAGTGGTGTCGAGGAAGGGTGCTTTTGGTCGTTATTTTGTTGATCATAAGAGTGATGGTCCTCTCTTATGATCAACAATTTGAGAGAGAGAGGGTCTTCTCTTATGATCAACAATTTGAGATAGAGAGAGAGAGGACCATAGTATGATATATTTGTGCTTGACACTTTATTTTGCTTTATCATCACAGTTGCCGCTCAAATCTTGTAGGGCATACATCCTTTAAGATATGCTTTATTTGCCCATTTTGGTGGTTGGTTTCATTTAAGTAATTGATGGTCTTCATACTATGAGTTTATATATATATATATATATATTTAAACAAATAAATAAAAGGAAAAACAGAACAAACAAGAGATTTGCATAAATAGTATGTTTTAGCATAAGCCTCAAGTGCGCCTTACATGCCTTATGCGCATAAGCATATGAGAAGTATGCATATGAAGAGCTTTTCTTTTATTCTTGTTAGTCTAGTAGATGATCTAAACATGAAAAAAGGATAACATCTTTTTTGCAACTATAGTCCATAGAAAAAATTAAGTAAATGACCAATCAAGAAAAAACACAAAGTTAAAGCTCAAGTGAGTATCTCAATAACTAAAGCTACGATTTCCCTTTCGATGAATGCACACTTCCTTCTATGTAGTGAAATGGTCTACCCCTTGAGGAAAAAAGTATTTACACTTCTATATTTAATTTTTAATATGTTTTGTTATTTTAAAATATTTTATTTATTTACTAAATATAAAATTTGAAATTTGAAATGCTTATGCCTCGATGCCTTAAGGCTTATGCCTTACCTCACGAGGATAAAGCGCGTTCCTCGCACTACGCATTTGCCTTTAAAAACTTTGGACACAATATACGGAGCAAATCTAGAAATAGAGATGAAAGTAGAGTAAAACTTGATAGGCATGAAATACCTAAGATTGATTGTCTTTGATAACTTGGGTCAGTTATTTATAAAGATGGTGAGATTGAAGATGACATGGCCCATGAAATTACGGCAAGATGGATAAAATAGAGGAGTGCATCAGGAGTCTTCTGTGATCATAGGATTCCTATCAAGCTAAAGGGAAAATTTCATCGGACTGCCATATGACCTATAATGTATGTACTGAATATTATGCAGTTAAAAAAAATGTTTGAGCATACCTTAAATGAGAATGTTGAGATGGATGGGGAGTGTTACAAGAAAAGATAAGTTAAGAAATGAATCATTTAGGAAGAAGTTAGAAATGACACCAGTTAATAATAAGATGAGAGGAAGTCATTTGAGATGGTATGGTCATATGCATTATAGACTAATGCTCCCTTTGGCTCACCACTTAAAGCCAACTTTTGATCATGTGCATCATGGAAGATGGTCACATGTATGTCAGATTGACAGCTAGAATGAGACATTTGATTGTTCATGTTTTCCATTTGACAGTGCTTTAGGCTTTACGTACTAGAGAGCAAATGAGCGTATTCATGGTCTAGCTATAAAACCATGATCTCTGTCATCCATGAATTGTCAATAATTTCCGGAAACTTGGCAAATTGAATGCTCTGGGGACCAGTTGCAGATAATTGTGAATTTATGTAGCTGGGTTCGACACTTTATGGGTCACCTTGTTTTAAATGTGATGTTTGGCTGTTGATAAGATATTGTTTTCTTTTCAACTGATTATTTAAGTGTTTGCAAAATTTTATTTCTTGTTGAATTGATGCTTATCTATTGTAGTTCAATAGGTTAATTTCCAAACTATACTTAATTTTTTTCATCATTTACTAGGGCAAGTTTATCTATCGCACATTAATGAAATAAATGTGTTTATTTAGTTTCTAAATTCTGAAGATGGTACCATCTTAAATGTTTTTAATCTTTATCTTAGCTAGGGGGATGCTTTGCAAAAAATAAAAATAAATACCCAGCTGTTATTATTTATTCTTTTTGATGGTCTTTTTTATTTAAATGAGGTGTGGGAGACACCCGTGTATATGTTTTGTACTTGGCAAGGATTGGCTGCTAGATAAATCAATTTGGCTTTCATTTCTCACGAGCAAGAAAAATAGTGGTTTTGAACGTAGCACTTGAACTGGCCCAACTGATGTAGAATCTGTAGATGAAGTTGCACAATTAATTTTATGTCGATAAAATATTACAAAGTTCATGCCTGTGCCCTTTGCTCTGTAACACTCTTGTTCATGCATTTTGGCCCCCGGGGTTATCTTTGACTTGGATTTCCCTCCAGAGTGGAATAATTCTCGTGTTTGAATCCAAAATAGTTTAAGATATTGGTGGTATGTTCCCATTTGGTCAAAAAGTATCTACTTGTGTGATCACTTTTTTTTTTTTTTTTTGGACAATAAATATTCTTAATACCAAATGCTACTGTTGTAGGGTTTCAGGGAAATGGGGATTTTAGAAGAGAAGACCATGGCATGAGGGACAGATAAAGGTGAAGGATTTGATGAAGGGCTTTAGGTATTACACATTCCATTGCTTGCAATTTGGTGAAGAAAGAAACTTTTGGGACCTTTATATTGTGCCCTCGCATCCCTTTTTCTCCCATAGTTTTTTGCTTGAGGGATGATTCTTTGCCATGAATTTGTTTCCTTGCTAGTCTTTCTACATGGTCATTTTGGTGTATCATTATATTATAAAAGCAATTCAAAGAAAAATGTCTTCCACTCAAGATTTTGCTCTTTTATTGTGAATCATTGATTTATAAGGCCTCCTTATATCATAATCGGTTAAATGAATCATTTGTTGCCCCCTTGTTGATTGTCAGAGCTTGTGAAGTCCGTGTCAGCTTTTTCATAATTTCAATTTTCTTTTTCTTTTCTTTGTTATTGCTTATTCATGTTTTCTCCAATCATATTCATCTCATTCAAAATTTAATATTCGAAATATTGTCAAAGGAAATTGTCTACATCACAATTGATCACTCTAAATTGTCGTGTAATAGCTTTAGGAGAACATGTTAAGGTAAGGAGAAATTAGGAGCACTCTCAGAGTTGATAGAACTATAAGATTTGTTTGCAGATTTTAGAGGAGTATGTTTGGAAGAGGGGTTTTGGTCCTTTATGCATTTTTGATTGAGATGGGAATACTTAGGTGGATGTGTGGTAAAGGTAGAAAAGATTGAATTAGAAATGAAAATATATTTGTGAAATGTTAAGAGTATAACGTATTGAAGATAAGTTGAGAGAGAACATGTTAAGATAGTTTAGTCATGTACAATGTGTTGGAGATAATTTCGACAATAATTAATTAAAGCAAATAAAATAAATAAAGTAAACAACAAAATTAAACTTTATAATACTTTTGTAGATGGTTTAGGAACAAGTCTATGATTGAGGCCAGTGTTTGAACACTGTGCATTTAAGATAGAATTTTGTCCTTTCCAATGGTGCTTGAGAACAATGGATGTCCTGTATTTAGGATACAATAATCACCACAAACGAAGAGAGCACGCTCTTTGATTGTACATCGAACCAAAAATAGGTTTTATACTCACAAAATTCAGACTCACACAGATGAAGAATACAAGAAGAATGCTTGAACTTGAGGAATTTGGAATGAAGAGAATTGGAATGGGGGTTGCCTTTATATAGGCTGGTTGACACCTATTCAGTTTGAACAGAAAATGCACGAAGAAGGTTTAAAATGAAAAGACACCATCCTTGGGTCACACCTTTTATAATGAAGAGGCACCATAAAGGGTTGCACTTTACCATTCGAATGGAGTCCATTCCATTCACTTATAAATTTTTCCAAGGGTTGCACTTTACCATTCGAATGGAGTCCATTCCATTCACTTATAAATTTTTCCAACAATCCGCCACATAAATGAAATTGACGAAACGAGAAATGCAACAACATGCAGACTATGTGAGTACAAATCTGGAAATGTCCTACATAGGATAGGTAGCTTTTGGCCTTGAACCTTTCCTTGTAAAATACTATCGAATTTACTGGCTGATTAGTGAACATGGTGTCTTGAACTGTTCTGTTGTTGATGTAAATCGAGATAATAGTCTGTCACACAGTTTTATTTCTATACACAACTTGATTCTATCGGTTGTGTCCATTTTGGCCTTGGATAATTCCTGGATTCATGAGTGCTATAGAGAATTTAGCCTTTTCAATTCTCATAGAACCGACCCAGTTTACAGTCATATAAGTGATTTCCATTAAAAGCATCTTGCTATACCCCACTTGAATTTCCAAGTTATGAGTCTCATTAAAAGCAAAGCTTAACCTATTTATCGTTGTAGGTAATCACTATCTCACCATAGAAATGGTTAAGAGTTTTACTCCGTAGTAATTCTAATGAGTCATTCTTAATTTGGTTATCCCTTTGAACCTAGATATTGAGATCTCCAATCAAATAGGTTGGGTTGCCATTAAGATAACTCTTAAGTGATAGGTTTCAATCCCATTTCCCTCGATGATCACAACACTTCTCTTTGGTCAAAGCCTTTGTCAAGGGATCCACTATGTTTTCTTTTGACCTTATAAGCTCAATGGAAACTATTTCATTAGAGAGCAGTTGCCTAACGGTGTTATGTCTACGACAAATGTGACGAGACTTATCGTTATACATATAATTTTGTGCCCTAGCCATTACGGTTTAACTATCGCAATGAATGCAAATCGTTGGCATGGGTTTTGGTCATATTGAAATATCTTCTAAGAAATTACGAAAGCATTTTGCTTCTTCTCTTGCTTTGTCTAAACCAATAAATTCGGATTCCATTGTGGATCTAGCTATGCAAGTCTGTTTAGAATATTTCCAAAAGACCGCTCCACCTATCAAGGTAAAGACATATCCACTAGTGGATTTAGAATCCTTAGTGTTAGATATCCAATTAGTGTCGCAATACCCTTCTAGGATCGCTGGATATCTAGTATAGTATAGCTCATAGTCACGGGTGTATCTTAGGTATCTAAGAACCCTAACTATGGTTGTTCATTGGTCTTTTCTTGGGTTGCTAGTGTATCTACTCAATTTACCTATTGCATGCACTATATCAACACACGTACAACTCATGAGATACATTAGACTTCCAATTATTTGAGAGTATTCCAATTGTGATATGCTTTCACCTTTATTTTTCATTAAATGAAGGTTAGCATCCACAGGTGTCTTTACATGACGGTCAGCGTGCTTATTGAATTTCTCAAGAATTTTGTCAACATAGTGAATTTGAGACAAAACATATCCTTCAGATGTTTAGTAATTTTTATTCCTAAAATTATATCTACTACTAATTTTAACGTCAAAACCTTCTGGTTACATGTGGATTTCTTCATTTAGATCACCATTTAAGAATGCATTCTTTACATCCATTTGATGTATCTCTAGATTGTTTAAAGAAGCAATTGCAATTAATATTTTAATGGATGTGATCTTTGTTATGGGTGAATAGGTATCGAAGTAATCCACTCCTTCAATTTGCCTATAACCCTTGACCACAAGTCTTACTTTGTATTTGTTAATTGATCCATCCTGTTTTATTTTCCTTTTGAATGTCCATTTATATCCAAGAGGTTTAAAACCTGGTGGAAAATCCACCAAAATTAAACCTTACAGTACTTCTACAGATGGTTTATGAACAAGTTTGTGATTGAAGCCAATGTTTGAACACTGTGCCTTTAAGACTGAATTTCGTCCTCTCCAATGAAGCTTGAGAACAATGGACATCCTATATTCAAGATACAACAATCACTACAAACGAAGAGAGCACACTCTTTGATTGTACAGCAAACCAAAAATATGTTTTGCACTCACAAAATTCAATCTCACGCAAATGAAGAATATAAGAAGAATGCTTGAACTTGAGGAACTTGGAATGAAGAGAATTGGAATGGGGGCTATCTTTATATAGGTTTGTTGGCACCAATTCAGTTTGAACAGAAAATGCACGAAGAAGGGACATGACTCTTGGGGCACCCTTTAAAATGAAGAAACACCATCCTTGGGTCACACTCTTTATAATGAAGAGATATCATGAAAGGTTGCACTCTACCATTCAAATGGAGTTCATTCCATTCACTTATAAATTTTTCCAATACAATGAAGATTTATAAATGCAATAGTAAAGAAGAGTGATAGGATTCTCATGAATGGAGATGTTAGGGGGTGCAATAGTAACGAATAGTGATAGGATCGTCATAAATTGAGATATTAGGGATAGCAAAAGATCTAAAGTTGACAAGGAATGTCGTAGTAAAAAAAAGGTTTGAATTTATTTAATTTCACTGAAAGTATGTTGAAATGACAAAAGAGAATTAATGTAGCTGATTCACTTGGTTGGGACATAAGATTTAATTTAGTATTGTTTGATTATTATAACATCAAGACATTAAGTCTTGCTACAGCAAAGAGAGAAGCTTGGGTAAACCTTATTATCCTAGAATTCATTCAAACAATAGAACACAAAATCACACTAGTAGCCAATAATAGTTGTTAGTGTCCTCAAAATTGGGACATGTATAATCAGGATATTGCACAAAAGCAACACCAATTTAGGAACAAAGCTTAAAAGTCTTTGATTAGATGGTGCCAACCAACATCCCACCTTGTGTTGTCACCACAGAAACAGCATGGTGCAATGCACACTCTGCTGGTAGGAGGCACTTTGGATTGTTGGATGTGGATCCTAGCTTGTGGAATTATATCTTTAGATTACTTATTTACAATGTGCTTGTGTATTACTTTTAAGTATCAATTAAGTCCATGCCTTTATATTTATACATACATATATATATATATATATTTGGACACTGAAGGAGAAAACAAGAAAGGATATGAGAATTTGAGTCGTATTTGGAGCCAATGCACTTTGTTTAAGTCTTTCACATGTGAAAAAGACTACACTCTGTTAAGTCTAGCACTTTGTTAAGTCTCACATACCACCTTTTACTTTGATATTCTCTTTAATTTTTATATGGTATTATTTATGGTATTATTTTGAGGGAGTGGATTCTCAAGTCGGCGATCCAACTTGAGAAAATGTTTGGGTTTGGTGGACTTATTTTGCAACTAATTTCAGTGATTTAAATCATTCATTTTTTAAGACTTGTTGAATAAAATATTGATGCAAAAAATTAAGAGGACATCAGTAGCTAATATCTTTGAATCACTTTGTTTTTTAAAAAAATAGATGACAATTATAATTTCAAGACTAGCCATCTATTTTTTTGTAATACTTTAAACATATAGCTACCGATATCCGATTATCTTAATTTTTTACATTAATATTTTACTTAACGAGTACTACAAAGTGAACCGTTTAGATCACTAAGGTCAGCCTCAAAATGGGCCTATCAAGCCTAAACACTCTCTTAAATAAAGATGATCAACTTGAAAGAATCCAGACCTTTACTTTTATGTACTTGTATTGTAGCTGTTGTGAGATTTTTTTTTAATAAGAAAATTGCTTTTAATCATATTACTTTAATGTTTAAAAAGATCATCAAAAAATATGTGTATATATAGGATAATTGTTGTTCTACTGAAAGTGCAAATAGAGTACAACGGTTTCATGTTACAAATCAAATACTTCCCCAGTGTTAGTTTTTTTTTTTTTTAAGAAAAAAAGTGATGATGAATATGAATTTTTTTTTTTTTAAATATATAATTTCATTGTATTTATTATTACCAAAATAGTGAAATCTCACTACGTTCGGACAATGCAAGCTAGCAATTACAAAATTGAAGACCAATTACAAAAAATTATAGTATATATTACCT